AACTGTAGTTCTTCAGAAAAGCCTGCTTGAAAACAGTGGTAGAAGGTACCGTTACAAGGAAACCTTACGGTGTATCAACCTATCTTCCAAAGCGTCTCAAAAACAATCCGGGGTAAAATTAAAATCCAACGGGGCTGCTCTGCAGTTCACTGGCCATCTCTCAGTTACAGACACCTGACTTGCAGCCATGGCACGTACGCAAACCGCTGGCTGTGTTACACTTCCGCTCTCTCCACCTACCCCCATTCTTTTTTGACAACAAAGCAGAAAACTATCTGAGCTGAGATCTTGATCAGCCTTCTTCTCCTTCCCCCGTCCTGTGCCTCCTTCTCTGATCACAACTGAAGTCTCTTCATCATTTCTGTTCTTCTACTTTTCCCAGGTATCTCACAAACATGTCATTCCCACCAGCACAAAAAGTACCATTTATGGACAACAAAATTAGTATTAACAATCACCCTATAATGTGGGCTGTAATGAAGGAATAGATGGAGGCCCTTATATGTTTCGAAATGGCTTTCGACCAGATACAACAGAAATCGACCTCATCCCTTCTCATATTTTCTTGAGGAAAGAGTGACATTTGTGTGTGTGTGTGTGTGTGTGTGTGTGTGTGTGTGTGTGTGTTGGGGGTGGGAGGTACAATTTGGAGATAATTATCCAAATGTAAAATAAATATAACTTTTTAAAAACTCTTTAAGTTCAGGGGATGTCACTTTTGATGTAGCCAGTTACCATTTAGGAATTTATCATATGGATTTACCCTATGAATTCAGTCCTATCAATACACTCAGATATAAGTACACGGATGTTATTCACGGCACCGTTTGACACAGTACACATAAATGGAAATGACAGAGACTGATCTAAAAATGACGGTCTATCGGTGAGATGACATACTATGTATCTGTTAAAAAGACTAAGCTAGCGAATCTGGAGCTAGACAGATGTCTACACTCTTGCATGGGGGAGAGCATTAGAGAACATGGCTAGGGAGTTAGAGCTTTTTTCCCTCCTACCCATCTAAAAATGACGGTCTGTCTATGAGATGACATACTACGTATCTGGTAAAAAGAATAAGCTAGCGAATCTGGAGCTCAACTAGACAGATGTCTACACTTTTGTCAAGTGGAAAAAGTTAAAGAACACGGGCTAGGGAGTTATTCTTCCCCGGCCCCCACCCCTTCTTTTCCCCCCATATGAAGGGGGACCTTTATCTTGGCTCCCCTTCCCTTTTCTCCAATTCCCACCCTTCCATACACCACCTTAGCAGGCATATTTAAAAGACCTACTAGGAATGAGCCCTTCCCCAAGCAAGACAAGCAGAAGAAAGGCAGAGAGAAGTGCAGGAGGAGGAAGTGAAGAGCCCATGTGAACAGCCATGAAGGGAAGAGAGTGGAGAATAGCTGGGAAAAGAATAAAAAGAATGTGGGGAGCAGGGCCTCTAAGGAAACATTCTGTGTGTTATGATGGATCCATTGCTCATGTTTTCTATGAGACCCTGGCAAAGGTTGGGATTGCTGATTTACTTTCAATTCTCTGACAGCATGCGAAGGCTGAGGTATATGGGGCTCTGGAATATATTCAGACTGGCTGCTCTCACACAGAACATTTCAGCAAAGAAACTTTTAGCCAAGCTTATCTTTAAGGAGTAGGACAACAGTTTGAAGATGAGGCTAATTTGTACCTTTCTGTGCTCTTAAATTGTCCTTCTCTATAAGCATATGCCAATCTCGAAACAGCAATGAACAGAAGACGTATGAATATACTGAAAGTCTTCTTCAAAATCCTCTGTATCTCCTTATCATTCTCCAGTTCCTAAAGTCTAATTTAATTAGTAATCAACATACAAAAATTTTAAAACAATGTGTTCAATTTTACATTTTTCTCTTTTTTTAGGGGGTGGGGAGAAATTCACAGCCCAGATGCTAGTACTACTGAAGACTGAGCAGCCTTTCATGGGTTAGTCTGGGGACCTCACCATCATCTGTAAACAGCTTTAGTAGGAAAATGCATCCCAAGTTTGGAACTACTGATTGGCTAATTCACATTAGACTAAATTAAACTTTTAAATAAAATTTATGAAGTATTTTAAAATTTTCATTACGTTTAATGTTTATAATGCTAAGGGACAAATGAGTTTGCATATATAGTCACATATATAAGCCGATACTATCAGAAGACATATTATAAGCTAATACTAAAGACAGTACATTTTGTTGTATGTCACTTATTTCTAACTTGCTTTATGAAACATGAAGGACCTAATATTGAGTTGCATCATAAAAACTGAGTAAAATCTATCGAGTAAAAACAAATGACAGAGGAGCGCGAAGGGAGCCGAAGACAGTAATTTGGGTAAAAATGGAATAGGGGCACTTTCTCCTCTAAGGTCAGCAATTAAAATTTAGCCAAGGTCAGGAATGACAAAATCATCAAGAGAGACTTGACCTCCATCCAGTTGTTGCAAACAATATATTAACATTGTAAAACTGTTACAGCAGATGGCAATCCAATCATCCCTTGGTAACTCATGCCTGGCTAACTGTTCATGTCCTTGGCTAAAGGTGAGGACAAAGCCCACCTCCAGCATCTGCCGGGAGCCCACGCGGGGGCTGAGAGCACACAGCGGGAATTCCCTCACACATGTGAGAGGCAAAAACCATTGCCAACTTCTGTATTTCTGCCTTTGTTCTAAAATTGCTAATGGGCTTGCAGGGTTCCGGACCTGTTTGCATATATTCCTTATTTTACCTCTGCCTAAGCTGAAGGGGAAAAAGGCAAAGTATGACAACATCCACTCTGCCCATTTCTCTTAACTTTGTTGGTTCTGGATTATTTATAGCCTTTTTCTCAACTACAGCTTTGAAAGCAAAGGATTCTTATCTCACTCATGTGAAGTGGATCAATGCAGACTGGATTTCTGAAATACAGACCACCAAAAAGCAACTCCTTAACACACTCCAGGGAAAGAGACCAAGGGAGGCTTGGAAATTTGTCACCCAGTGTAGGAACGAGTACACATGTACAGAGGGATTGTGACCTGCCAAACACCATGTTAACATAACCAAATGTTTTCCAAACATAATGGACTGTATTCTGGTGGAGGACCTGCCTCACTTACAAGAAAGGTCTCTTTGTTTAACTTTAAAGTCAGTCAAATTGCCAGTTACTTAAGGGGTAAGTTAGGGCCTCAGAGAAGCCCTGGTAGGCGTGGGGAAGAGAAGATTGCAAAATACGTGCAGGACAGACACCTCTGAAAGTGTGTGGTCTTCTTTATGGATGTGGTGGACCAATTTAAAGTTTCTGTGCTTAAGAGTGGCCTGAGCAGGGAAGCCCGGGTATCAAAAGGAAAGCGAGGCTGAGGCAGGAAGAGCCAGTGCAGTGCCTGCCACGTCAAGAGCCAGCGGCTGCTGATGGCGCTGCAGAAGACAGGACTTTCCAGTCTGCGTCTCCTGCGTGGAGTCTATCTGCGCACCCAGCAGTCTGCCGTGTGGCTTCCTCAGAGCAAGCCCTGGAGTTCAGCGAAGTAACACCACCCACCCGACCTGCCTCTTGTTGCAACACTAAGGCTCAGAGATGAAGCCATATCTCTTTGAATGCGATTCATATTTTCCGAGAACCCACAAGATTCATCACACTGAACAGGATTTCACCGCTCATGGGAAAGTCTACAGTCTCAGCCCTCAAGGCAATCCCTGATAAATTTGATTAAAGCTGAGTCACAGTCTGGATTCCACAGGCAGTGGAAGAAACCACGTACAGAAGTCCTGAAAACATGCTCAGGGTCACGCTGGTGCCACTGGCTGGCCAGGGACCTCTGCCATTCACCTGGCTGGTACAGCCTTTGCCGTCTTCGGGTTCCTCATGAACTGCACCAAGCTCCCGGATCACACTTGGCTTCCTAGACCATGGACTCACTTCTGTTCTTATGTTGACCCTGGTAACTTCCTCTCCGTTGTCTCATGTACAGCCACTCCCTGCCTGCTGCCCTGTGTTGCATCGGTCTGGTCCTGGATTCTCCCTCTGCTTAGCCCCTTTGGGCTGACATGGTATTTGCACCATGTGGAAAGTTGGGAAACTAAGTGTTTGCCCAGAATGCATCAGGGACCTCCTCCCCCTGCCACCTCTCCTGGTCACAGGTGCTTTCAAGGTGCCTTGCCATGAGCATCCTTGTTCTGTGCTACAGACAGTGATTCCAACCTCAGATTATGGTTCGCATGTCTCTGTCCCTTTTCCCTTGACTGCTCTCAGTCTCAACTTCTAGAATTATGCTCTCAGCCCACTGCAAATCAGGGCGCAACACCCAGCAGCGCCTAACTCTCGCCACTCCAACTCTACCCTCCCCCTCAAAGCTTCTCCACGTTATAAAAACATCTCAGGGCAAAACACCTTCTGGTGTAGAAGAGCTGAGATCAGTCAAAAAGCAATCACCAATAGTTCCTTGACCCGACTCAATGATAAGCTGAGGCAAGGAGGTCTGCCTGCTGTCCTCCCTGGCTCACAAGGTGATTACGAAGGCAAATGATTCAAGTGAAAGCATAAAGCCCAAGAAAGAGAAGGGACTATCCTTACTGTCAGCCAGACCGAGGGCCCCATATGGCCAGCCTCACCTGGACCAGCAGAGGCCAGTGACGCTGCCTCTCATGCTAGGTCTGAGCCCCACGTTCCTCTCCAGCTCCCCCGGCACCCTGAGCCTGCCTTTGTCATTGCAAGCGCCTGGTGGTGGTGTAATCGTCGGCTTCAGATCGAGACAGCATCTAATCAGTTTCTGTACACCCATGGTGCCTGACACATGGAAAGAACTTACAGATGATGAATGAATGCATCAATGAATGAACAAAAGGAATGAATAAAATAAGGCTTGGTTTTACACCATGGCTGAGAAGCAGATGGGAATGCCCCATGCAAAGTAGTCATCAGAATGACTTCACAGCACCGGTCCTCTGCCCAGCGCCAAGACGTCCTGGCCTTGACGTCAGCCCTCTCCCCGGACTTGCCTGTACGGCTCCATGGTGCGAGTACCGTAGAACAAGGCCTCCTCCAGCAGGCCCAGGTGGATGCAGGCGTCCATGGCGCAGTCAAGCACCTTCAGCTGGTAGATGTTGATATCGGGAAGCCGTTCCGAATTGCTGCTTATGATCGCCTGGCACATGGCCAGAACCTGCTCCCACTCTGTTATTAACCTTAGTTAAGGATTCCTCGTCTTCACCAAGAAAAAACAAAAGTAAAATTAGATCCTCTAAAAGGTTGAAGAGCTCCCAAGCACAGGAGGGAAGGAAGAGCCCGTGATTTTTCACAGATGAGCTGCCTGGAAATGCACTTGAGAAACAAAACACCGAAGTGGCATCTCAGCGAAGGAAATTCTGTTGACATCAACAAACCGCCTCGGGGCCAAGCCTGTGCTTCGGAGTCTTACGGCTTCCAGAGAACTGTCCTTCCTTCACACTCCTAGACACACTCTCTTTCAATCTAGTCATAAATAAATACGGTCCTTTGTTAAATTGGATTAAAGATTAAGTTAATTCAGTTTTAAATTATTTACTGTTAGCTTCTGTTTAAAAACCGATTCAAAATTAAAGAAGCTTTAGAAAGATTCCTTTTTGAAGCGGAAGAGCTCATGTTTGCTGCTGTGTTATCTGAGTTTGGGGCATACATGAAACCAAATACACAACTCACAGGCACACACTAGGTGGAGCAACTTGAAGAAATCCATTTCCACTGGATCTCATTTTTTTCTTATTGGAAAGCCAAAGCAATCCAAGCCAAGTACCTTAGAATGTCTTGTTTTGAACCCCCAAAATAAGAGACAATATTAGGAATGGGGCTTCTGCATGTAAATTGCCAGCAAGGGGAAAAGATGCTTTAAAAAGGATGGAATATCCGCTCCTCAGTAACACTGACTTCTGATTAACCATGAGTCAATAACGTAATCTCATCCAGCCTTGGTGTGACTTCAGTTGGAAATGGCTATTCCCCGTCTTACAGAGGCAGTCAGAGGACTGAGGACATGGTTTATGGAGTGTGCTTTGAATCCCTCCCAGGGGAACTACCTGGGAAACAAGGCAAAGGTGGGAGAGCAGGACCCCGGGACCACAGTTTCTTTGCTGTGCACTGTGTTAGGCAAGGCAGAGACCAAGGAGGGTGCCGGGCTGGGACGGGCCCTGCTCTCACTCCTGTCCCACCTTCAACCAGTGGAGCTCCACATTTATCTGCTCCACATGCTGTCATTATGTGTAATGACAAAAGCGGCAGCCTAGCCTTTGACTGCAGCAAAGCTAGATTCACATCTAAGCTCGTCCTGTCATCTGTCAGATTTGAGGTTCTGAGGAAGTCAAAGTGCTTTATGATTGGCCAGAAACAAAATGACTCATGTCAACATAGAATTAGTAATACACTGTATGTAAAATGACTCGATTCGTTGTGTGTCCCACTGTGAGCCAGGCAGAGCTCTGGGTGTCAGAGGCACAGCGGGAAAACATTTCGTGGCATGCATAAAGGATATTCTACATAAGTGTTTAGGACCCTCCAGCTTCCCTTCTGCGCCATGACCTCCGAGCCTGACTGCGCATAAAGGAAACGTCTCAGTGGACTGAGTTTGACTGAACTTCACTTCACGCCCCCACACCCCTCCCACTCCCAGCTGACCAAGTCTCCTTGCAATCTGTGCTCTCTGCACCATCCCCTGCCCCCAATTCTAAACTTCTCCATTGATGTCCTAATGGAGCATGCCCAGCCCTGATCAGGCAGCCCACTGTGGGTGCCCCTTCTCCCTCTCTGTCCAGCAAAACCTGCCTCTTCGAGTGTCCATACCCTCCCTCAGGACAGGGCTTTCCAAAACATTAGCAAATACTTCTAATAAACCAGTCAAGACACTCCTGAGAGTGGAGACTAATACCTTTATGAGCTTTCACAGAAAATGTATTTTCTTTCCAGCAAAGGCTTCTGGGAGGCATAGTATCCTACTCCAAAAAATGAGTTCCTACTCCAGAAAAGAAGATGAGTATCCTACTCCAGAAGATGAGTGCACAGCTGAGAGCCTTTTATATCACACCCCTACAATTTGAGGATGAGTCCTGTCTTGGAGGAATTGACCCTGATCCCAGAAAAGGTACATTTCCTGAAGAAAAGTGAGTCCATGATTTCCTCTCATATTCATCTGACATGTATGTTTAAAGTTTGCTGAATGTGGCCCCTAGAGGTTGGGGAAGCAGCATCTTAGGCAAGGCCCTGACTTTGTAGCAGATTGCTGGGCTGACCCCTGTGGCTTTTCATTCCACGATTAGATTATTCGACGAACTGTCAGGAGGAATGACCGTCTCTTACACAACGCGAGACATTTCTGTGGCAAGACGTGGGCCTTATTTCAACATTGTGCTCTCTGACCTCCACTCTTACTTGCCTGTTCATTTACATATGTTCCAACTTACTCTAAAGAGGTTTGAGGTGACAAGCCTTAGAAAAGCCAGATGTGACATTCTGCAGCCACTCACAGGAATACATCTATTTTACCCCCAGCAAGCTGGAAGGGACCGTGCGCCAATTTCCCTTCACAACACTGGCAACTGTAGCTTGGCAAACAAGGCAAACCTTTCCTGCAGAACACCCCAGTGAGCAAAACATGGAATGATTTTAACTAAGAGGCTTTCCCCCAAGCTAATACTGACGTGTTTGCTCAAAGATTTAGTCCCTGGCACCTGTGTGCTGTTTACCATAAGTCACTCTGTTCCAGTAAGGGGCTGAGCTCGAGCCCTAAGCCGGGCTGGAGAGCCCTCCCAGAGAGGAGACTGCTAACGGACAGAACAGACACACTTTTTCTCCTGAACACTTTTAAGTGACCGTAAGAGGGTCAGGGGAAAAAGGAAAGTGAAGCAAAGCAAATTCACTGGAGAATTAATCAACTTACTGAGACTGAAAGACCATCAGACCACAGAGCTTTTATTCAGTGAATCATATTACTCTGCTGCTTAAAAAATCACCCCCGGCCCCTCTCACCTGAAGCCTAGTTTGGGCAGTTACGGCCGTGCTACCCGCTCCGCTCGTGTTGTCAAACGGCCGCAACTTCTCAGCAGCGCGGCCGTCCACGGTCCGCACACGCCATTCCTTGTGCTGGGCTCCTCTCCTCCTGGGTGGCCCGGTGAGCTCCTGTGGATCCTCCCAGACCCAGCTCAGTGGTCACCTCCTCTGAAAGCTTTGAACCTCCCCAAGTTGACTACTGCGTTTCTGATACCCCTGTAAGTCTGTATCTTTACCAAAACATGTATGAACCAACATTTTACTACCCGACTCTGTAGGAGAGTAGTCAGTGCAGGGCCGTGTTTTCTGACTTCTGTCTGCACCATCGTGTGAATTATGACCAGCAAGGTACCCAGCTTACGGTCAGTTTTCAGTAAAACCTTGTCCAGTTGAAACTGAACTCCGGCTGGGTTGTCCATGGGCCCAAGGCTGCTGCAAGGGACCACACAGAAAAGTCCACTCCTCTGCACACAAAGGCTCTTCAGCCCAAGGGACCACACAGAAAAGTCCACTCCTCTGCGCACAAAGGGTCTTTCAGCCCATGTCCAGGGACCTGCTGCTTCCAGAGCTGACTGTTTTCCCAGTGTCTTCCATCTCATCATAGACAGGGTTTCAAATCCCTCTTTAATATCAGTTCCACCCCTCAAAACAAGTTTGTTTTTCTAGACCCCTATTAATACTTCTCACCTCAGACTGAATGGAAAGTTACAGAAATAATCGGACCGATACTATCATCTTTATCATTTCATTATCTACACTAATGTAGCCCAAGAGCATAGTAATCTTTAAGGAGATATTATACTCTTAAATGTTGTTAAATTTTGCTATTTACTGAAGCCCTAAATTTTCTTTACATGCTCTTATGCATATTTATATACTTGAACTTTTTTATCCAAATAGAAAGTTTATATATGCTCGTTAAATTTCACCTCTTTAAAACTTGAACACCATTTAAACCTTTAGGGATCTTTTGAAGTCTTTTCTCTAGAGATATGGATTCTAGCATTCCCCCTCTATTGTCCTCCCCATCAATGTCACTGTGGAGATTTGATAAACCTGTCCTCTCTATCTTCATTCAAGGTATGGAATGATGAATTAAAGAGGACCAAGATGGAAAGAGGGCACTCCAGAATGGCACTGAATCATTCAGCATCATTTTTCCATGTAGCTATTCAGTCAGCTTTGCTAACATCTAACATAAACTTCTTGATTACTTTTCATCAAATCCCTTCCTAAAATCCTGATACAAACTTTACCAAAGCAAGCCATACTCTTATGGAGTCACCTTATCTTGGAAAAGCCACATAGCATCGTGAGGATCACAGCTTTCCTCTCTATTCTGTAGTAACCAATCCTAGATTCATTACTGAGACTGCTAATAAATCCACTGGGCTATCGATTCAGAAATCATGGCCTTCACCTTTAAAAATGGAAACATCTGTCTAAGTACCTCTCTGGTTCTTTACAACTCTTTAAATAGCATCATCAGAAAACTGCGAGCCTCCCTGTGCCTGGGATATCATTGACCCAAAGCATCTGGATGCCCTTTTGCCATCTTTTCTTGTACTTTGATCTCTTCCTTCTTGCCTGTGGTTTCCTTCAGCAGCTTTGCTCCACCTCTCAGCCTTTGCCTATTCGAACCCTGCCCCTGACTCAGGCTATCTTTTGCACAGTAAAACGTCAGCGGAGCCTTCCCAGATGACCTTCCTCCTAAGTGACTCTCGTTACTCTCAACTTTGGCCCCCTGTGGTCATGACTATTCATGCCGAGAAAATCTGTACAGCAGTCCCCATTGCCACTATAGTCGTGGCTGGTTTAATATGAAGCTTCTAGGTCTGACGGTCAGTGGCACTGAATTTTAAGGATTTTAGGCTATTCTTTCCTAGAGATGTAGGTGGTTATGGGAGGAGAGAATTGAGGAATTTGTTACCTTTTACAGATAAAGAGGCTACTACTTACTTCCCTACTACCATTGGGCCACACATTTTGATTGTTACCTAATGGTGGTGAGTTATTATTCATGCTGATCTTGCCACAGTCTTCTTTATCATTACTCAAACTGCTGGCCAGGGCCAGGGATGCAGCCTGTGACCATGAGACAGAATGGAAACCACTGGCTCATGCGGCGGTCACACCTGGCCTTTGGCGCGATTACCGCGGGGCTTGAAGACAGAAAGCAAACAGTCCCAACAGCCCAGCCCAGTCCACAGGGGAAAGGATACTCCAGTGTGCCTTCAGTTCTTCAATTGTTTTCAGGGATTTCTGAACTTCCTTCCACACTTGCTCATCACCAGTCAGCATATCAGCATCCTGTTTGGGCCAGAAAAGGAAGACAAATAACTCAATTAGTAATAGGCAAAGGACCCGAATAGACCTTTCTCCAAGACACACAAATGGCCTGCAAGCCCATAAAAAGATGCTTGACATAATTTATCACCAGGGAAATATAAAGCAAAACCACAGTGAGATATTACTTGATACCCACTATGATGGCTAGAATTAAAACGGATCACAGCAAAGGTTGGTGAAGGCGTGGAGAAACTGAAACCCTCACACACTGCTCATGAGAATGCAATGGTGTCGCTTTGGAAAACACTCTGGAAGTTCCCCAAACGGTTGAACATTAGAGTTACCACATAAACAACCCTATGCCTAGGCATCTACCCAAGAGAAATGAAAACATATGTTCAACAAAATCTTGTTCACAAATACTCATAGCGGCATTGTTCGTGGTAGCCAAAAACTGGAAAAAACTCACATATCTATCGACTGATAAATAAAATATGGTGTTTCCATACAACAATTATTCTATAATGAAGTACTGATACATGCAACAGCATGGATGAACCTTGAAAACATTATGCTAAATAAGAAGCCAATCACAAAAGACCACGTGTATAATTCCACGGATATGACATGTCCACAACAGGCAAATCTGGAGAGACACAGTAGATTAGTGGTTGCCGAGGGCTAAGAGGATTGAAGGGAACTGGAGAGTCTGTGATAATGGGTAGGGGTTTCTTTTTGGGGTGATAAAAATGCTCTAAAATTGACACCATGCTGGCTGCACAACTCTGCAAAGAGACTAAAAACCATTGAATTATACAGTTTAACTGGGTAAATTTCTTCATATGCGATTTTTCCTCAATAAAGCTGGTATTTACAAAAATAAAAGGGGAATAGGATAAAATAATTATTTGTTAGGAGACCCACAGATAAAGTACAATTACACCCAGGTGAACCAATTCTGACTTCTATCTAAAAACAAAATCCCAAAACATTGAAAAATCAAAAGTAAATAAAACGAGGACTCCCGTGTATTAAATGCCTGCCCTCCTATTTGGGAAGCAGGCCCTCTATGTTTCCCACTTGCCAACGTATCTCTGGCATCCAGCCCGGTGCCCGGCACATAGTAGCTGCTCAGTCAGCACTTGCTCAATGACTGAAAACCACACGTGTGTACAATGCTGAAGGCTTTACTGATGCTGTCTTATCTTCACATAGCTCTTTTATGTATGTAAGATTATACCCCATGGGGTAACACAGGCAGGGAGTAGGAGAAGTCTACCCTGGGTCAGGGAAGGACAGGGCACACTGTCTATAGAATAATGAAAAATAACAAAACCAACGAAAAGTAGGTCTGATGTTTATCATGTGCAACAATTCAGAGGTGAAATATTATTCCCCTCAAGTTAGAGAGTACCTAACATCTTTCTCCCTAATATACTGCTGATCATACCCAGTTTGTAGATGATAAAACTGAGACTCAGATTAAGTGACTTACCTGTAAATCACTAGCTTGGAACCAAAATTTCAACCCAGGTCTGTTTGGTTCCAAAAGGCTATATGGTTGCCAAATACTACTCTGCTTACCACAGATAATGCTATGGTCTCTTCTGCATGCTCAGCAAGTCCTGCTTCTTTAAAGCTGCACTAATAGGTAGCCACCAGCCAGGTGTGGTTATTTCAATTTAAGTTAATTCAAACAATAAAAAATTCGGTTCTTCAGCAGCAGCAGCAGCCACATTCCCAGAACCTAACAGCCATATGTGGCTGTAGCTAGCACACCGAACCACCCAGATATAGAACAGTTCATTACGTCATTGCAGAAAGTCCTGTTGGACAGTGCTGCTTTACAGTGGCTAATCAAAGGGTAAACACTTATAAGACACTGTTCAAAATCAGGTGTTCAGTAGCCACGGGACTTTCAGTGGGCGTCGGGGAGAAGCGGCACCTTAGAAGTTCTGTGAAAGCAGGGCCAGTGTGGGGGTGACGGAAGGGCGGGGGAGGAGGGACTTCCCCATACTCCATCCCTCTCCCTGGAGACTCTTCCGTGCCTGCTGAAGAAGGCTTATGGAACCACCCCATGAGAACCACTGCCAGAGTAAGCCTGTGTTTCTGGGGAGAAGAAACGTCACTCAAGTGTGCCAGGGCAGAGGGAAAAAAAGGGACAGGACACTGAGAACCACAGCAAAGAGATCCTGAGACCCCTCCTCAGGCGGAAGCAGTGGGCGTGTGAGGAGCACTCGTGTCTGCATAACAGGGCTTTGGAGGCCTCTATGCGTACGCGTCGTGCAGATGTGTGACAGTGGTTTTTTTTTTTTTTTTTTTTTTTTTTTTTGAGACGGAGTTTCGCCCTTGTTACCCAGGCTGGAGTGCAATGGCGCGATCTCGGCTCACCGCAACCTCCGCCTCCTGGGTTCAGGCAATTCTCCTGCCTCAGCCTCCTGAGCTGGGATTACAGGCACGCGCCACCATGCCCAGCTAACTTTTTTTGTATTTTTAGTAGAGACGGGGTTTCACCATGTTGACGAGGATGGTCTCGATCTCTTGACCTCGTGATCCACCCGCCTCAGCCTCCCAAAGTGCTGGGATTACAGGCGTGAGCCACCGCGCCCGGCCTTGACAGTGGTTTTTAAAAGACACCATAAATGCACTTTTTTTAAAGAGGAATTTCTAAATACATCCCTAGCTTTCTGTACACAGAAGAGAGAGGAGATCAAATGCCTTAAGGCTCCCTCTGACTGCCTGCTCTAGGCCCATATTCATCTCCAACAGTCTCATTTCCATCACTTCACTCTCCTGCTCCAAAGCCTTCAGCAACCTCCCACTGCCTCCCAGATAACGCCTACCCGTTAGGCTGATTGGCTGTCAATCAGCTGACCCTACAATAGCTGAGCGTAGCCCAGACTTTCCAGGTGGGGCTAATATAAGGACAAGGGTCCTTAAAAGTAGAAGATGGAGGCACAAGAGGAGGTCAGGGTGATGTGCTGTGAGAAGAACTGAACCAGAAGCTGGCAAAGGCAAGGCAACAGATCTCCCCGGGAGTGTCCAGAAAGAAAGGCAGCCATGCCCCCACCTTGATTTTGGCCCGCTGAGACTTGGATCAGGCTACAGCCTACAGAGCTGAAATATTAAATCTGAGTTGTCTTAAGATGCTATATTTATGATCATTTGTTACAGCAGCAACAGACAATTAATTTAGTCCCTAACATACCTTCTGCTCTTCTGGCCACTGGGGCTCTTTGTGCCAGGCCCTCTCTGTACTTGAAATTAACTAGTTAGATCACTCATTTATTCCATTAACACTTACTGAGTACCTAACCCAGCACTGTTCTAGGCAGTAGGGATAGAGCAGTAAATAAATCAGATAATCATGGTGTTCATACTGAAAAGACAGGTGGAACACAAAGCAAGAGAAAGTACACGCGCGCGCACACACACACATTTTGTTGGGGGCAAAGCAAGCAGGGAAGAGGGACAGGGATACTGGCAGCGGGGAATTCATTTTAAACATGATGACCCTTGAGTAAAGATCTAAAGGAGGTGAAGGAGACAGGCATTCCAGGGGGTGGGGAGCGCAAGTGCCGAGGCGGACGCATGCCTGAATGTTCCAGAACAACACAGGCCAGCGGGGCCAGAGCTGTGGACTGCAGTTTCTGTGCATGTCATATTTTCCCCACTTAACTGTAAGCTCTTTAGAGCTGAACATAGGTCTCATGTTTCCCTGATCTAGCCTCTCCCAAATACTAGCCCAGAATCTCGTATGTAACAGACTCTCTGCTTAATGTCTCTAGTATGGATCTGGAAAAAGTGAACTAACTTGGTAATGATTTGACGTCTCTTGTATTTATTTCAGTTATTCCTCACAACACCTTTGGAAGGCATCAATCCCTGTAATTCACAAATGAGATGCAAGATCGTCACGAAGCTTACACGATTGGTCCAAATGTCCTTGTACCTACTAATTGCCAGAGGTAGGATTCAAACCCAGGTCTGTCTGGCTCCAGAGCCCATGCTGTTTCCACTATCTTCATGCTTAAATTTGATTTCTCTCCTGGACTTGCTTAAAAGGTGAAACGCGTATCTGTGAATTAATAAATTCAAAATACCCTCAACCCATGTTTCCTAAGATCTTCCTCGTACTAGCACTTGAAAGAGGAGAGTAAAATCCTCCAACATGGAACCCACAGCTGATCTTGTATTCTATCAAGCAGGGTGAGACCACAGCCCAGGGCAAAAACAATTTCATATGAGAATTACAATCACAACGAAATTTGCCACCAGTGAACATAAGCTGATTAGCTGTTCTTTTAGGTTGACCCTAAGCCTTTATTTGCTTAGCAGAAGAGCAAGCAAGCTTTGAAACTGCTCCTAAACATTAAGAAACGATACCTCTGAGAGCATTTTATATTGGAGCTAGATAAAGCTACACTCACTAATAGCTATCAGCTCCCTGGAGTGTTCCACTACGGTCAGGGTCTCTCGGGTTCCCCACGTCACCTAACCCTCCCCATCCCGCTGAGGCTGCCCCTCACAGCTACGCCTACGCTGGCTCTAACTCCCCTCCCCTCCCCTCCCTCCACACCAAGCTGGAGGAAAACGTTCAGTTGCACAGGTATATAAATAGGACATGAGTATAGAAACAGAAAAACTACTTAGGGAAGCATAATTTAAATCTACTTTTTAAATTGGCAAATGGAAGAGTAAATTACTGGTTTTGGTTTTTTTTTTTAATAGTCTTTGAGGTATAAAATTAGTAAATTTATGTCCTTATTTCCATTATTTCATATCCAAACACAAAAACACTTGATAAAATTCAGGACAAAGTTATTTAGGAAAAAAATTTATCTTTGAATTTTACTTGTACCATGTAAAACGAGCTTGAATGGGTGAGTCCTGAAATTTGTTTTTAGGGGATAGAAACATGCATTTTACATTCATTTAAACATCAAATATACTGTTGCTGAATTTTCTACAAATGCTAAAAGTAATTCAGCCTAGAAGCAGAAGGATTCCTAAGAAGGCTG